ATAAATTTTATTTTCATTCTAAGACGTAGTATCACTACCATTGGTTCTTGTATTACACCTAGAAAAGGACATTAAATTGTTTGAAATGAATTGTTGTATATTGTTGTCGTTCAAACAGGTATAATAAAACGTTATCTTTCCATGTTGATGTTTCTATATCATGTGATACTATAAAATTCTGTTGTTATCATCAACACCTGATTTAAGTCGTCATCTGAATCGCCTCCTGTGGCAACCTCTCACATAGCTGTCAGACAGTATACAATACAACAACCAAATGAAAGGAGTCAATCATCTGCTTCTTGAGCAATACCTGATAAATGAACCCTTTTTCAATTTAAGTGACGGGTAGGTGATTCACAGTGAAATTCTCATATTTCAGTCGTCGGTTCGCTCAGATTCTTCTGGATGTCAACAGTTACTGGCAGTTGTTGAAAGATGATCTGAGAGAGTATTCTGACATAAGCAAGATTAAACCTAGCCCTCAACGTCCCTTTGTCACTATTTGCCATCTCTTTACAGATGCATGCATCGTCAAACTAGCTATTATATTTAAAATCTAGTTCATAAGGTGGAATTAGACAGAAATGCAACCAAGCTAACTCTTGGGAATCACGTTAAACTACAAAAACCTCTTCAATTTACGATACTAAAAGATAATGTTAACTTTTTTTTGTAGATAAAATTGACTGTGATTTGTAATAACAGACAATCCATCAAAACATACTATAATTCATCACAACTGAATATTATATACTTTTATATTCAGGCGAACAACCCCCACACACAAACTGATATTTAACAAGAGAATAATATCTTTCAAATCCATCAAAACAGGGATAGTTGGACTTGGATATGAGCTACGGACCAGATTAAGTTTGAATAACGAACTACGAACAATATCCAACCCCATACGATCTGAGTACATTACCTGACCTTCAATGTAAATGAATGATTTAGGTAATAAAGACAATATCAGTTTTAAAAACTCAGTATCAAGTATTTTCTTGAATATTTTATCAGAGATATCCGATGCTATCAGACCCCGTCATCAACTTATCTCCTCTAAAATAACGTATCACAGTTGTTGTTGTACTGAACTGTACAAAATTAATCATCAATAATTAACGTGCTAATGACACAAAACAACCACTCCCTGTTCTCATTGGTTATAGACATCGAAAAATGTGCTTTCTCAGCTGTGACAAGTCTCAATTCTATAAGACCTTTTTCACAATTTAAAATTTATATCTAGTTCCCCATGTGCTTTAAACGAATACTACGTCTAAAATTGAAGAATTTAAACTTGGACAATAAGACCATATATTCATCAGTAGATATACCTGGTGTCATAAATAACATAACAGGATCCTTATATAATCCGATAAATCCAAAAAACAATTAAAAAAGCAATTAACTATTGAAAAACGCTTAATATTATGATTAAGCGTTTTTCAATAATTACTAAGTTTTATGAATTTTCCAATTTTCCTGGGATTCTGTTGTAACTTTATGACACCAGGTAAGTTCCCTGATGAATATTACTCATATTGACCAT